GAGGGACTTCATGATTATGGGCGCTACATAATACCTGTCTCTTATACACATCTAGATGTGTATAAGAGACAGGGCAGAGACAGAGCGAGGAGAGATGAAAGGCGACATTGTGAGATAGGGCAAGCAAGCTAGATGGAGGCAGGATAAGCCCTCTGTTTCCTCATGAGCTCGTGCGCAAGCCGGTGAGTGAAAGCGAGAGAGAACAAGAGAGAGAGAGAGAGAGAGAGGAGGGAGGAGCTAGGACGAGCAGGGAAGAGGAGGAGGAGGCGGCGAACTGTAGGTGGTAAGGAACAACAACTTGTAAAAAACAAAACACAAACAGAGTGGGCGGGTCTGAAAAGCATAGCTTAGCTTGTATCTCTAGATGACGTCATCGCAAATCTGGACGACGAGGACATAGCCGAGGCGAACGTTGTTATGGCCGTTGCTAGTGTGGTGGTGGTCCTCTCCAGAGTTTCACAAACCGTTTCACACAAGGAGCTTCCTACGTTCTGAATTACTTCCGTCTGTTTCTCTATCAGCGCTAGCTGGCGCTCCAGCACCGATGCATGCATCGCCTGCGCCTCTCTCGAAGACTCTACAAACTTCTCTTGACTTCTATAGACGGCGGAGATGAGTTCGCCGACGGAGGTCCTGGTTTCATTCCAGTGAGCGGATTGGGAATCTCGCATGGCCTTGATCATTCTCTCTTGGCCCTCGAGAATGGCCGCAGTGAGCTCCCCCATGGCCGCGGCGGATACGGAGAGGCCCTCCGCGGACTCGCGCCTCCGCTTGTTTCGGCTCCCCTCGACGGCAGTTTCCCCTTCTTCCTCCTCCGGACAGGGGCCGGCAGCGTCGTGGCCGTCCGGTTCCGCGCGCCCAGCTTCTTGCTCTGCGCCGATGACCAACTTCCCGCCCTCGTCGGACAATCCTGGGTAGACAGCGCCGCCGCCGCTGACACCAGCAGCGCCACCCGCGGCTGCAAGACCTGCGCAGCCGGGGGTGCAAGGGCCACCGCCGCCGCCGGCGGCATCCTCTGTGCCATCGGCGCTGACGTCCTTTGCGGCGGTGGCGGAGGCTGAGCCCGCGGGTACAAACTGCGGCTGCTGCTGCTGCACTGGTTCTTCTTCTTGGTGCTCTAGAAGGAGACGCTGCTGCCCGGCCTCTAGCAGCCCGACTACGCCTGGAGCAGCTTCTGCTGCTCCTTCTCCTTCACCTCCTCCGCCTACTTCTTCGCCTGCTGCAGCTGCTGCTGCTGCTGCTGCTGCTGCTGCTACCTCCCCTTCCGTCCCGCCATTCGCTCCTCCTATCGCAACAATTGCGCCTGCAGCTGCTCCGACTGCCGCCGCCTCGGCGGCCGTTCCGCCGGCCGCGAGCGGCCGCGGGCGCACCGAGTCCCCGCTCCCCGCCGCGGCCTTCCCCGCTGCCGCTTCCTTCGAGCACAGATAAGCCAGCATCATGTCATACACCGTCCGATCGAACGTGAAATCAAGGCCTGCTGATTTCCTCTGCTTGCTATCCATCGTGAAATAAGATCTGTCCTTGCTCGCGCTCTTCTCGTACGTGTGTATTTTGCGGAAAAACTGTAGCAAGTTGCTCCATTGCTTGCGAATCTTCGGCGCATCCCAGCAGGAGTGCCCCGCCGCATCCAATCTTGCCTTGATTGCAGACCATCGCGCGTTGGCAGAGATGGAAGTGCGCGGATGCCCGCCCGCTCCTGCCGCTGCCCCGCCTCCCCCAGCCCCTCCGCTTTCAGGCACGTTCGCTAGCGCTGCAGCCTCGTCTATCTTCGCTCTGATTAGCTCTAGTCTTGCATCCGCCGTCCAGTTCACAGAACGTGTCCAGTGTGCCCTCTGCCTTCTATCCATGCTGCTGTTGGTCTACTCCTGCTCCTGCTCCTCCCCTCCCTTCTCCTTCCGTCCCTCTCCTCCTCCTCCTCCTCCTCCTCCCCCTCCTCCTCACCCCCCTGCCCTCCTACCTGCTGCTCCTCCTGCTGCTCCTCCTGGTCCTCCTGTTCACTTGTGGTTCTTCCTCCGTTGCAATCCGCTACTATCCCCCTCAAGCTTGGGCGAGAGCTTCGGCACGGCCAAACTGGCTTGGGCGAGAGATAGGTAGGCATGTTGCCTTTCGTGGAACAATTCACGCGAGCAAGCACCAGCTATGATCCGCCTGGCAAACTGCACTCCTCACTCCCGCGCCTCCACCTCCGTGCCCCCTTCGTCTCTCCCCTCCTTCTCCTCTTCCCCTCCTCTCTTCTGCGCCTTCTCCTCCCCCACTCTGCACGCGCCCACAGCGTCGCCTCCGCCCTGCCATGCCTTGCCGGCGCCCGTGCCCCCGGGCGCGGGCGTGGCAGCTGCCGTGACCGTGAGCGCCGGGCAGCACTTCCTGCTGCTGCTGCTCCTGCTGGTGCTGGGGCACGAGCGAGCCTCGCTGCCCCCTCACCCCGCCAAGACACCACCACCAGCAGAGGGATTCACACACCGAAAGGAAGGGGGTGGCGCTCTGCTCGCGGACCGCAGGCCGCGTGGTCTACGGCACTTCTCCTCCTCCCCGCCCTTTCCTCCTCCCCCTCCACCTCCTCCTCCTCCTCCTGCTGCTCCTGCTGCTGCTGCTGTTCGCGCTAATGCCGCTCTCCTGTTTTTCTTCCCGCGCCTACATGGCCAATGTCCATTCCTCTGTCCCGCGAATTCGCTAAATTTTCTCCTAGACCAGACTACCCGCCAATGCCCTACCTATAGGCGCTAACTAACGCGGTTAGGAAGGGCGGGGAAGGGGTGGCGGCACCTAGCTGCCCGCCAATCATTCCGCTATACTACGGTGAAAGAACCAGGAATCCGCGAGTCGCCCCCCTCGGCCCATGGAGGAACCTGGCCTCCGGTGCGACCTGGTTCATGCTAAGTCCATGCCAGGACGGCGGAACTGGGCCGATGTTCCTGCTAGGGAAAGCATGAACGTGGTTGGAATACTGTCTCCATTCCTGCTTTCCTTGCCTGCCATATAGTACAAGTCCGCCCTGGCCCGAATAGAGACCGTCGTGACACCAATCCAGCGCGGACGGATCCCCGCGCGCTCGCCTATCCGCGCCGTGGATGGATCCGCCATCACATCAACAACTTAAGTCTGAGGGCAAAAGGGGGGGGCGGGGGGGCAGGGGGCGGGCCAGGGGCAAGAAAACAAATAGCAGAAAACCAGATTCTCTAGGCGGGGCCCTGGGGAACACCACATCGGACGGCGGAGAACGGGAGTCGCCAGCCAGCTTCCCACGAAGGCCGTCCGACGTTCTGCAGCCTCTGGGCTACCGCAGTGGCTGTCTGGTGCTATTTCTGAGCGGGATGACTCGGCCTGAACCTGGTCGGCTTCCTGGGCTAAGGGGGCGGCCCGAACCGAAGGAAGCGGCGAGCGCTCAGGGAGGGGCAGGAGACCCGGCCCCACTGGCACGCACTCCAGTCCAGCTATTATGAGCGCTTGCGCGGGGTGTCAGGCCCCACCTTCCTACTGCTGACCAGGGGCTAGGTCCCACTTGCACGAATTAAGAGATACTGACCGTAGATAGCAAAGATCAACGGCCCAAATCTCCTAATTAGCGCAAGTGGGACCTTGCGTGGAGTGTCAGGACCGCCCCGAGGTGCTACAGAACCGCCGGGCGCGAGGTCCACCAACCAAGTAGGTTGCAAAGAGGCTTGGATTAAGCGATCGAATCTGGATCTCTTTTGCGCAGAGATGCAGAAAAGCAGATCAACCGCGATTTCTGCACTTTGTCCGCGAGCCCGTCCATGTTCAGGCGTTGGATCCCATGCTATTTGCTAGTGGGACCTCGCGCCTGGCGGGGGGTTGCCCAACGCCCGCCTCCATGCTATTTCTCCGCCAAGGTAGGACATCGCCGGTGGTCCACAATCTACTCTCCATATGGGCAGATTTGAGTCCAGATGCATTCAAAATGTTGGCGGATGGCCTGTAGCGCAACGGGGTCTACACTCGTGGTTCATTCTTTCCGCTGCTCTGGCATCGCTTGCGCAAGCGGTGCGCCAGCCCGGCTGCGCCTGTGGTTCTGGCTGTCCTCAGCGCGCGCGACGAAGGCCGGACGAACGGACGGGCACACACACTCACACAGCACATGGACGATCAAACAGTGGTCTTGTTGAGTGTGTGTGCTGTGCCTGTGCTTGTGTGCCTAACCTAATAAGGTGTTAGTAAATATATACCAATACAGAAAGAAAGGAACATAAGTAATTAATCTTTAAAAAATATAATAAGTAATCAATCTCTCTAAGGCCAGCTTGTGTAAGGAAAAAAAAAAAAAAAAAAAAAAAAGGGAAGTTGACTGCAATCCGAACCGTCCGATCAGCTCCAGGTATCGATAGATAATATCGTGCTCAGCTGCCGCCACTAGTTCATTTAGTTGGCAGACTGAGGAAGGCGTAGGATGAGAGGCCCCACTTGTCCAAGGAACGAATTGTGCGCTAACTTCACAGAATGAACCTGGTCGTCATAAGGGAGCAAGCTCATGATAAGTATGCAAGCTATTTCGCCAGTGGAACCTGCGAGCTTGACGCCTTCGGGACAAGATGCCTCGTGGACATCACATCACCGTGATCCCGCCGCGATCCCACTCAACTCACTACACCTTCCTTCTTTTTCTTTTGGGAAAATTTTCGAAATGCCCCCAAAGTTTGCATTTATTTGCGGCGTGCCCCTCTGAAGGCTGACTTATGTGCCCCTTGGGCCTCGGAAATTTTCTGCAGGCCCCTGTCAGCATGGGGCGTAACTTTCCGCTATGCCCTTACTGGACCGCTCGTGCCGTTTCTTCGGTCCGTCCTCGAAATGCCCTCACCAGGGGCACACATCTTTTTGTGGTGCCCTTGCGGCAGTGGCGGCAGGAATTCGAATTCGAAGTGGCAGGCATTTCACGCGCCGCCACYGGAGAACGGTGCAGCAGTGAGTCTTCGAGTTCGCCGCGTCGTCGTTGATCGATGCATTGGAGTGCATACGGCTACCGTGCGAAGGTGAGTGTCTCCTCCCTCCTCCTCCATCCATGCTCATCGCCCTCCTCCCTTCTCCTCCTCTGTCCTCGTCGCTCTCCTCTCTTCTCGTCCAGCCTCCATCCTTTGTCCTCGCCCGTCATCGTCAGAGTGCTTGTCCTCCCTACTCCTCTTCCCCTCCTCTTTCCTCGTTCCTCCCTCCTCGGAGTCCAACGCTCCTCGTCACCCCTCCCTCTCGTCCTCGTCGACGTCGTAACCATCACCATGGTCGTTTTCTCGGCATCATCGGCGTGCTCTGGCGGAGTCTATTCTCCTTCGACTATCAGCGGCGTTTTCACCGCACCCCTGCTCTGACAATCATGATCATTCCGTCAGCCAGGCTTCTTTTCATTCCGGTGCACAGGGCCTAGTTGCACGACTCGCTATCCGGCAAGGTTTTGAATGCATCTTGACAGACTTGATGTCCAGATGCATTCCAGATGTTCATAGATGGCGAGTGGTGCAACTACGCCCAGAGTCTATTCTCCTTCGACTATCAGCGTCCCCTCCCTTCGGGCTCACGTAGCGCATGGGATGAAGAAGTGGAAAGCAACGAGCAATCATCGCTAACGCTTTCCTCCTATCGTGTTTGGGTGCATATGGCAGACCTTGTGACAGCAGGTAGGATTGCGATCATAGGGGTAATTCTGTGTGGGAGGATTAACACAACCTGACTGACTGCGGAGGCGGGTGACCCGACTCAAAGTGGTGATAGCCATGGCTCCCCTATCGTCCGCTGTTCTAGCACGGGCAGATGTCCGGACCGGGATGGCTGGTCATGACAATCCAACACACGTTGGCCTCCGCAGCGTTATCTCAAGAATCATCTTCGGTGGTCCGTTCGTCGTTGGCGCCATCCTCCTCCTCCTCCTCCTCCTCCTCCTTTTTGTCGTCTCCTCGTTGTGAGTGCCTTTCTTTGCCATCCTCCTCCTTCTCCTCCTTTTTGTCTTCTCCTCGTTGCGAGTGCCTTTCTTTGGTAGTCTGCAGGTGTTCCCGCGTCAAGTGAATGTAGGTATCATACATTTAGCGTTGCAGGTTAAATTGTCTTTCCACATGGCCAAACTGTACCTCAAAAATGGGAGCCATGTGTCTTTCCACGTGGCAAAACTGTACCTAAAAAATGGCCGCAGTCATGTGTGTGTGTGTGTATGCGTGTGTGTGTGTGTGTGTGTGTGTGTGT